CAAACGGGTAACTTCGCTTCTGGCCCACCGGCACTGACTGCCTAGGCGCTCTGAGCAGCGTCCGAGGGCCAGCCCTGCCCGGCTTCGGACCGCCTCCCCCGGCCTCAGCCCTTCCCGCAGTCCCATCATCATCGCTGATACTTTCGTCTCCCGTGGCGTTCGGGGCAGGCCGGAAGAGGGGCAGCAGGCGAGAGGACCGGCCGGCGTGCCTGGGAGACCCCTGCCTCCAAATTAGTCTGGACAGCCCGTGGGGTGGGCCGTCGGGCCAGCTCTTGCCCTCAGAGGTCGGGTCCGGCCTGGGCAGAGGTCAGTGGGAGGCGCAGGCGAGGGCCGTGTGGGGCCGCAGCTTGAGGTGGGCAGCCGTCCGTCAGTCACGGCCAACGCCAGAGGGCAGGAAATTGGGACGGACACGGGCCTGAGCAGAGGGCGCTGCTGCCCGCACCCCCAGGCTCTCCGCTGCCTCCCGTGCCCCCGCCCCCCAGGGGACGGCTCAGAAGGGGCTTTGCAGAGCGTCGCTTCCCCCCGCAGGGCTTCCACCTGAGCCGGTTCGCGCCCTGGCTGGGGGCACCGCTGCAGTGTGTCCACCTCTCCCCGTCCCCGGCTTGAAAAAAGAAGCAGGTTTGCTAAGCAGCTGCGAGGCAAGAATTTGGCGTATGGGATCATTTACCTGATTAGAGAGTTTATTTTATAAAAATTGCTTCGGAATGGGGTTTACATCCGGGGAGGGGCGGGAGCCGGCGGTCTGGGCAGAGCACGGGGCTGGGGGCAGCCCGCCAGGAGCAGCGCACCTACAGCTCGCCGCCACGGGGCAAGACGAGCTGCTCCCACTCATTAAAAGCCGATTAGGAGCAATCTCAAAGGGAGCAGTTGGGCTTCTGGGGCCGGCCCCCCCGGGGGGGGCACATGTGTTCCAGAGGTGCGGCTTCCCGGCCCTGGCGGCTTCTCAGGACGGCCGCTCCCTCCCCATCCCGGCCCGTGGCTGGGCGGCCGGTCCATCCAGTGACTGGGACAGTCCTCTCCTGCTCAGAGGGGAGGTGGCCGGGGGTGGGGGTGGCCCAAGACAGGCCTTGCTTGGCTCTGGCTGCCCAGGCGGGCAAGAGGCAGGCGGACTCCCCGCTGCGCCCTCCCCAGCGCATGAACTGCCTGCGGGTGGGGGCCCCGAGCAGCCGATGGACGTGGCCACACACTCCGAACGGTTAAGCTTCCTAAGCAGAGCCGGGCCTTCCTGCAGCGGCTGTGGGTTTGGCAGCTGCCGGCCTGCCGGCTCTGGGAACGCCGGGCTTCCCTTCCGCCTGCTCTCGCCCTGGCAGAAGTCGCACCTGCAACGTCTGGCCCGTCCTGCTGCCCATTTCCAGCCGCGATCGGGCGGCAGTTCTCGAGAGCTTGGGGGAAGTCGTCCGTGAACTAGCACCGTGTTACGCCTCGGCCTTCCTTCCCTCCCTCTCCAAGCAATTTCCCAGCACAGAATGGCGTGGGAGGAATTCCCCCTGGAAGTCGACCCTCCTCCGTTGTCTGGGCTAGAGCAAGAGGCAATGAACATGGGGCTTGGGATGGGGAAAGGCAGCGGCTCCGGGGGGCCTAGGCCAGGGGGTCCCTGCCAGGGGCCAGCCGACAAAGACACCAGAACTAACAACGGAAGCAGTGGCAAAGCGATATAAAGTAGTAAAAATCCTGGACCACAGGCCAGGCAAGCAAAAACGGGCACTCTAGAGCACAGCTGGCATTAGACAGCTCAAATGAGCAAGCCCAGCTGCATTTCACCCCAGGAGGGGAGGATTTACAGGTCTGTGTGTGGGGAGAACAGAAAGTCCTTGGCTGCAGCGCTGTGGCCCTGGAGATCTTCCCATCAGCTTTATTTTGTTGTCAAGCATCCCTGTTCTTCTTGTTCTTTCTTCTTTTGGGCAATTTTTTTTTCCACGCTGTTGCATGGGCTCATTTGCATGTGTATTGCGCCTACCGCCACGGGTGCCGGGGTCAATTGAAACTCGAGAAAAAGAGGGGAAATTTTATGCAAAACTGTTGATTGCATTTGTATGTAATGAAATCATCCAATATTCATCCGGCTCCAGGCTCTAATCTGAGAGGAGAAGTGGAGGACATAAAGAGTCGCTGGGAAGCTGGCGCACGGAGCTTCTGTGGTGATTAAAAAAAAGCACTCGAACCTCCCGGCAATCCAACCCCAAAGCACGGCTAATCAGCACTGAATGTCGAGGCAGGCGATTATGCCCCCCCGGCCCCCACCCCGCGCAGAGCGCGCCGCGGAAGATGTATGCACCTCGTAAACTCTTGGTATGCCAGTCCCGCACGAGGCTCGCTCGAGACGAAGCCGGGGAGCGCACAATCAGGGAGCCGGCTGGCGCGCACTGCACAAAAGCCGTCGCTCGCGAGGGCTCAGCCACCTCCGCTCAGGCGGCAGGCCGGGCCCTGGACTCCCTGGCCAAGCCCCTCCTGCCGCCCCACTCCGGCCCCCCAACTGCTGGCCATGCCAGCGGCTCTGGAGACGGGCTCGAAAGGGCCTGGGGACAGCCCTCGAACCCGGGGCCAGGAGCGGGGCTGGCTTGGGGCCGAAGGCTGCTTCACAACCGTCCGCGAGTTAAACCTGCCTTTCGGCCCTTGCTTCCTGCTCCTGGGGGCTCATGGGCACCCCTCCTCGCGGCCCTGCAGGGTAGGCCAGGCTGAGGGAGAGCGGAATTGTGCTGGCAGGCACACGGGCCGGCCACCCATGCGCGTGTGCAGCCGCGGCCTGCGTGCTTCCGAGTGGGCGTCAGGTGGCAACAGCCCCCGCGTGTCCTTCGGCCTCCCCCCTCTGAGCCCTGGACCCACTTGCAGCGCCCCCCCCCCCGGCTTTCCTACCCCTGGCCCTAAATGCCCGGGGAGCGCCCAGGACCAGCACCGTGCAAAGGTGCCTGTGGAGAAGCTGCTCCACACCCCGCCCCGCGGGCCCCAGCGGAAGCGGAGGGTGCCTCACGCGCACCTCCCAGGGGCCCCACCATGAGAACCGTGCCAGGCCCTGGCGCTGGGTTCCTTCTCGGCCCCCGAAGGTGCTCTCTCGCCTCCGCTGCATCGCACCTGGCCGGAGCAGCGCTCTGCTTCTGTGGAACAGGGCTGCTTACCATCGTGTGCAGCTCTGCAGGCATCATTCCGATCCAGAAGTGAACGTACAAAGAAGAGCCAACCCACCCTCGATTTTACGCTCTTCTTTTGTGCGAGTCTGAGCGCGCAAACTCCCCCTCGCCCTCGCCTTGTGTGCGCGCTAAATGCAGCTCCCAAAAGGTCGCAAGGCCTGACCCTCCGCATAGCTTTTTATCAGCTTCCCCGCAAAATGGAATGTGGGAGGAGGGAGGAAGACGGGGGGCTGAAGGAAGGGACCCCCCCCAGACAGAAACCCTACCCTGCTGCAAAGAGGGGGTGCAGCGCTCTACGGCCAGTCCTTTCCACCCCGCCCTGGTGCCGCAGCTTCTCTGCTCTGCAAATAAACACCCCAGAGAGGAGTTAACTTTTGTGTGTCCACATGAAGTTGGGAAGTGGGGTGGGGGAATGAAAGATTCTTCTCCCCTTGTAGACCCCACATGTCAACAATTTTTCTGCTTTGTGTATTTTGGCCAGAAGCGCCTCCTCTCTTGATAAATGAATGGAGGGGGAAACGATCGCCCTGCGGTGCTTGTTTGCCTCAGCAAATTGCTTTCAGCTCAGTTGTTTGAGCAAGTCTCACATTTATCAAACGGGGCCTTTCCTCCCAGACCCACCGAGGAAGGGGAGAGGATGTCTGGCTCGCCAGCCAGAAGCCGGGCCGGGGCCAGACGATGCTGCTCTGGTGTCGCGGAGTCCCTTCTGCTCCTCTGCCCCTTGTGGGAAGCCAGATTAAATTTGCCCGAAATTTCTGGCAGCCACACGGCCAAGGCCCTTAACGGCGCATCCCACAAAACCAGAGAAGAGCTTGTCCAGACAGGCCTCACCCTTGGCCTGGCCGGTCACCTTGCTATTCTGTAGGCAACCGGACTTCCCGGCCTTCGCCATGTCCTGCCCTGCATCTGCTGCTCCTCCATGTTTGGGAGCCGTTTGAAGACACAGACTCCTCATGACTCCTGATACGCTTTATTGCAAGTCTGAGGACGGCGCTGCTTGTCCCGGCAGCTTCCCAGGTCCTTTCCCCGCGGACTCTGCAAGCAGGCTGGGGCAGTGGCTCCCGAACAGTCCCTGAGAGCACGAGGGCTCCAGGCTGTCGTCGTCCCGAGAGCAAGGCCGCCCCACGCGCTCCCCCTGCAGGGGCCGTCGTCCCTGCGGAGCACAGGCAGCATGGCCGCCTCGTCCGGACATCAGGCCTGGCAGCCCACGCGGCTGTCTGACGTGGCCAGGAAAACGAGCAAGCCTGGAGCCTGTCTGAGCAGAGGGTCCGTCGAATCTTCTGGCCTGGCTCAGAGCTGCAGCCGCGCACCCGTCTGTTAGGCATCCCTCTTGCTCGCTGGCAGGACGGGGCCTGCCCGGCGGGGGCTACCCAAGCAGCTCCTTGGTCTTCGCCGCCAGCAGCTTGTCCATTTCCGCCGTCGTGTCGTCTGCCATCTGCTGGACCTGTCGCACATTTCGGGCGGGGAGAGCACACGGTCTGTCCTGCGTTCCCATAGACGGACGGACGGACGAAGGGGCAGTCACCGTGCGCTGGCAGACGGAGGACGCGTGACCTCCAGAGGGCAGGGCGGTGAGAGTGCCGTGATGGCCCGCCCGGCCCGGCCCCCGTTCCCCACCCCAAGCGCCCCGAGGCCACCCTGCAAAGAGCCCCAGGCGTGTGCGCCAGGCTGTGCTGGCCAGGCAGGAGCCCCCCGCCCCCCAAGCCCACCTGCTTCTCGACGAGCCTGAGGGTGTCCTCTGACACGGTGCCTTTGGTCTTCCGCGCCTGGCTGACGGCCTGGGAGCGCACCTTCCGCAGGGATTCCTTGGCCTTGTTGGTGAACTGCTTGGCCACCCCGGCCAAGTTCTCCCGGTACTCGCGGGTGACCCTGGCCAAGGGGAAAAGGGGGAGCGATCGGTGTCACTTGCCCTCGAAGGCAGCAAGAGGCAGAGCACAAACAGAGGTCAAAAGCCCCCATGGGTGGAAGCGGCATCGCAAGCATCCTGACCCCCTGAGGGAAGACCTCGGGATGGAGGGGGGCAAGAGGGCCTGCAAAGCCCCACCGGCAGGGCCAAGGGCTGCTCTCCAGCGCCTTCTGCAGCCCCTTGCCCTCCAGACCTGTTGGACTGCGACTCCGAACGACGAGCACCTGGCAGGGGGCGGCTGTCCCTGGGCCTCGATGGCCACGAGGCCCGGGAGGGATTCCAGGCCACCCTGCGAGGCGCGCCACCAGCTGGATGCAGCGAGGCCGTGCGCAAGCCTCTCGCGGGGAGCCCCCGCGACGGAGCTCATCACCCACACCCTGCCACAAAAGAAAGCTCGAAGGGAGGGAGCGGCGCACCGTGAGCCCCTCTCCAGCCCACCCGTCTTCCTCCTCCCGCCGCCCGCCATTCAGGAGGTGACCCAAGAGCCCGCGAACAATCAGGCCGCTGCGCAGCCGCCCGAAAGGCTCAGCAATTAGCAGTGCCAAATCGCAGCTCCTTCAGAAGGAGGGATGCGGGAGAGCGGAGGCGAGAGAAGGCAGGGGGAAGAGAAGGAAGCCGGGCGCGCAGGTGGGGGGGCCTCTCGGCTGGGGAACACGGAGCGCATAGCGGTGTGCCAGCCCCGCTTCCTCAGGCCGCGCAGGGTTTCGCCGAGCGAGGCTGGCCTCGCAGAAGCGGCGCCTGTCCTCGCAATCCAGGGGCCGCCGGCCTGCCCGCCTCCCCCGGCGGAGCTGCAGCGTGTCTTTCTGCCAGGGCGCCCAGACCCCACGATCCTGTGCTGCTCGCAGGCAGATGTCTTCAGGTCTCAGGCTTTCGACGGCATGCGATGGGCAGCTGAAGCCTTCTGTCAAACAGCTCAGGCTCGTGTTCGGTGCGCCTTTTGGCACGGCTGCATTTTGGTGGATAATTGCTGTCGTGGTTTTAAATGCCACAGGCTTGGATCTCATGGCAAGCTGCCTGAGGAAACAGCAAGCCCTCGTCAGGAGGGCGGTTCTCATCCCCTCGGTCAAAAATGCGGCCGGCCAAGCAGCTGCGGGGCACGACTGCCCCGGGATGGGAAACCCGCTTGCGGCGCACGCAGAAAAGCACGGAGCGTGCGGCACGAAGCTCCCAGACGCAGAGCCGCAGGCAAGGCTGTCACGATTCTCCTCCCAACATGGAGGGGCCGCCTGGGACACCCCCCCCCCCGCCAGAGACGGTGCCCGGTCGGCCTCCATCCTTGGAGGGGGGCAGTGGTGTTAAGCTGGCAGGCTGGGGGGCGCAGTGCCCGCTTTGGCTGCCTTTCTGGGGACGCCGGAGCTGTTGCAAAAACACGGCATGGGGGCCGGGGGGGGGGCACGGCCCTCTGGACGCCAGCGCATCCCCAGTGTCCGAAATGCGACAGGGCTAATCGGAGGAACTGCCTTTCGACGGAAAACCGCGGCATTATATGAGCGCTGGAGTGGGAGCGGTTACTGCCCTTCCTCCGCTGAAGGAGACTCAAGCCAGCCACAGCCCAGAGGGGCATGGGAGTACGTGAGCCACCCCTAGGCAAAAAGTCCCTCCCGCGAGGCAGGGGGGGGGGGGGGGGGGGGTGCCGGAGGCCCCTGGCTTAGCAGCAGAGACATTTGGGAGCCGTTCCCCCACGAACCGCTTGTGGGCCCAGGTGACCCCAAGTTCATTTGATTCCTAAGTACATTTCTCTCCTCGCCTGAAATGAAAAAGACTTCTGGGCTGGCTTGGCGGTCTGAAGGCCCTAAAAGGGTAACACCATAAAGCAGCGAGCAGAAGCAAGTTAACGCAGCGTATGAAAACAAACCCCAGGAGACGGAGAGGCAGACTTGAAGGAGTCCGTGAGCATGGCACTCGAAGGGCCCGAGAGGCAAGGAAGCCGTGCCGGGCACCGAGGCTGAAGCTTCCTGACTTCGCCAGCGGGGGGGGGGGGGAGCTGAGGAGACTCCCTCTCCCGCTGCAGTCCACCTTCCTCAGAGGCACACGCAGACCTGGAAGCTGGAGGTGGGCTCCACTCCCCCACCAAAATCCCTGACAGCACAGAGACCGGCCCTGCCCGGGACGTTTCGCGGCATCCGGCCCTGTCCAGCCGCCGTCACCGCGGCAGTCGCTTACTTGGGAATGGGCACGCGGATGATCGAGCCATCTGCTTCCGGGTTTAGGTTCAGCCCGCTCTCTCGGATCGCCTTGATAGCTGCAGCTGTGCTCTGCCAAACCAAGATCAAAAAGGCCGAGGGAATCGGCAAATAATTATTACCAGACGCTGGAGCTCTCCATCAATGGGGAGCAATCCATCTCGACAGAACATGGAAACGTTTAGTTCAGTTCAGCGGGACCAGGAAGCTGCATCGGCGCGGGCTGCTTTGATCAAACGGAATGGCAAGCTGCAGCGTCCCCCCACCCCCAGTACGGAGGTATCGGTGAAGCGGCTGAAATGGGGCAGGGGGAAGCGGCGGTAGGGAGGGGTGGAAGAAAGCAGAGACCGAAAATGGAAACCATTTTGCCAGTTTAAGGCAACACGGCGTTTTTAAAAAGACAGTGAATTCTCAAGGGGGGCGGAGGGGGGGCGAGACTCCTGGACTTTGCAAGATGCAGGGCGAAAGCAGATGGAGGATTCCGGGCTCGGCCTGTGCGTGCCAAAGACCTCACGTGCTGGGGAGGTTCGAGGGAAGAGTTAAACCATCCTAACTTGTTCCACATTGCCACGGGCAAGTGCGAAAAGACGGGGGATTAGCACGGGGCCTGTTCTGTGTAGCTGCGGATTTTCAGGCCGCGTCTGAAAGCTGCCAGCACCCTCCACGGGAAGGCGGTGAGGCAGAGGGGTCAGGGAGAAGGGCAGCAGAGCCCGGAGCCCCTTGGGCAGGCCGCAGGGAACGCGGCTGCCGCGACGACGACGCCATTAACAGCAAACGCTGTCGGAATCCACCTGCGTCACGTGGGCCAGAGGGGCGCATTCGCCCAGAATCGATCCCACTTTTGCTGGGCATGGGGAGGGGCTGGGAGCATCCGGGACGGCGCAGTCCAGCCTCCCCAGTGGGCCGCAGCTCAGGGGCAGGGATGGCAGAAGGCCAGGGTTGAACCCAGCACCTTCCAGCAGGGAGTGCTGCAGGCCGGTGCCGGTCAGCCAGGGCTGGCAATGCTGGCTTACACGGCCCAGGAGCCGGCCTCTGTCGGAGGCAGCTTCCTACAGCCTCACGGGCGGGTGTCCGCCAGAAGTCCTGGACCAGGCGTCCCAGCCCCGCCAGCCAGCAGGGTCCTCGCTCCGACCACCCTTCCTCCATTCCTGGACGTCTTGGCTGAAGCTTTGCAGAGACGTGTGGAGGGGGTGCTTGGTGCCGAAGGGCACCGAGAATCTGTGCCTGCCAGGCCCCGACTCGCGCACTCAGCTGGGACAGCCTCCTACGCACCCCCCCCAGGGCCCGGCCCAGCCGGGGAGCGCACTTACTTCTGGGAAGCTGCTCATGTTCACCACGATGAGCTGTGAGGACCTCACCGAGACCTGTGCGAGCTGGTTCAGAGGAAACTTCCCATCCTTGGTCTGGACCGTTAAATGATCGAGAGCCCCTTCAACGAGAAGAACGATCGCGTCAGCGGCTGTTCGGTGTTCGTGGGGACAAAGCAGCAGGAGGACGGCCGGGTGGGCACTGTGGAGCCGGGCAACTACGGCCCACACTGCAAGCCACCCTAAAGGCCATGAGCAGAGTTGGAAGGGGCCTTGGGGCTCCTTGGCTCCAACTCCTGCCCACTGCAGGCAGAAAGGAAGACTGAGGGGAGACTGCAGGAAGCTCTACCGGTCTGCAGAAGAGGGCAAGATCCACCTCCTGCCAGTCACGCCCTCCCAATCTGGCTGGGCAGCAGGAAGAGCTTCCTGCCATGCAGCTCATGACCCGGGGAGGTGGTGGGCTCTCTCCCATTGGAGGCCTTCAGGAGGGTCGGACAGGCATAGCTGGGGAGTCCAGCACTGAGCAGGACGCTGGACCTCAGGGCCTTCTGGGCCCCTTCCAGCTCTACCGTGGGATGATTCTGTAAGGCTCTGCGGGGCAGGGCGTCCCCGATGCTGGTCCCCGACTCTGCTGAAGCGCCTCCGACAGAGGGAATAGAAGCTCCAGTTCGGAGAACTTCCATCCCTGCAGCAGGCTGGGAAAAGGCCTCTCTCCTCAAGACGCTCCCTGGTCAACAGCGCCTCACATTTATTTACGATCCCTCCGTGCCACCCTGAAGGGAGCCCACTGCCGCCTCCCCTGCTGCAGGAGAACTGAAGCTGAGCACAGAGTGCTGCCCCCGCCAGGCAACGGGGGCTTCCTCTTGTGCAGTGCTTGGAAATTTCCTGCAGTGAAGGTGCTGGGTCACCACTGTGAAAGGAAGAAGTTCAGCGTATGCATATGCAGTGCCAAACAATTAGCCAGTCTGAAATATTACGTGGATTCAACTGCTGCCCAAACACTTAAAAGAGCAAATGGCTGAGCCGTGGTTGAAATGCCAACAGTCCCGCGTCTTCTGTGCTGCGCAAAATGCCCAGTGAAGAACAGCTTGTTAACTGTGGCTTCAGACGTTTCCCCCTCGCAGGGCGCTCTGTCCCCCATCTTCGTGCTCCTTGCAACAGAAGGTTACACACCGGAGAGGGGTGGGGGAGTGCTGGAGCAGGGCGCAAGGAAGGGTCCCGGTGTTTAAGGCAGCCGCAAGAACACCCTGCCCTCTCGCTTTCGTCGCAGGCCAGCCTTCGAGTGCCTCTTTAATTCTGGATCAGCACAAGTTCCCCCAGCCACTTGAAGAAAGTGGCAGGCCAACCGAAGGGGGACTCTTGGGGGTGGCAGATCCAAACCTGGGGTGTGAGAGCCCCCCCCCCCCCGCAAAGTCTGCACAACGATTTCCAAGAGGCCAATTTAGTGGCAATTGCATCTTTCCTGCCTCGCCACGCTGGCAGCTGACGACTCCCCTCTCCGTCACATCTGCAAACGGTTCGCTCGGGCGCTTCTGACGTGCCCCACTTGCGGGGGCCGCCTGCAGGAAGCTATTAGCAAAAATGGGTCCTTCCTGGTCAAACCAGGGCGAGGGAAGTGTGCTGGGGGTGGGGCGAGGAAGGTCAGGCGGCCGCCAGTGTGCTGTCCAGAGACGCCGCAGCGGCTTCTGCTCCTCCCGCAGCCGTAAGCAATGCTCCGCTTGCGCACCTCCTCTAAGAAGCAAGGCCAAGGACACGCATCGCCTCCCGCTGGAGGGCCAGAGGCCCGTCCGGCCCCAAGAACACAGACAGCCGTCTTTGCTGACCCCTCGGTACGTGAAGACCTTGCCCAGTCCTGCCTGGAGAGGCCCAGATGGAACCAGCGACCATCGGCATGCGGAGCAGGGGCTTTCCCATGGCGCTACGGCCCTTCCCAGCACCTGGGGTCAGCCACTGCAGGGGCAGGGTGTCAGCGGGACTGCGGCTCTGTGGCGAGAGCACCCGCCTGCATGCAGAAGGTCCCCTGTGTGGTCACTGGAACCTCCTGCCCGCAACCCTGGGGAGCTGTTGCCGCAAGTCCGTGCTGGCGAGATGGAGCAGGGGGACTCGTCCTGGGTCCCTCTAGAGAGCTGGGCAGCCTCTGCTTCGATGTCTCTGGAAGGGCTGCTGGTTTCTGGCACCGGCAGGCTTGCCTTCTGCCTTGCAAGTCTTTGGCAATACCTGCGCAGGCGCCTCTGCAAGCGCACCCTGCTGCGGGGGGGGGCCCACATGCTGCATCGCCCTCTCCAGTTGAGCAAAAGGGGGACATGCGCGCCTGCAGTGTCCCCTTTGGCCTGGCCTCCGATTGTGGGAAGCTGGGCTGTCCAGCGGGCTGCCCTGGCAGACCCATCAGGATGCGTGTTCCCATACCTGGAGGCTCCTGCCAGTTGTGCGGTGTGTGTGTGAAGAAATAGCTACAAACTTCAGAAGAGCCACAACAGGTATGCCCAGCAACTCACCTGGCGAGGTTCTGATGCTTACATTTTTGCTGAATTCTTCCTGCAGGGCTTTCACCACAGAGTGCATCTCCTCGCTCACCTCCTCCAGGTCGATGATGTCCTCCACCAAAGAGGGGTTGATGTTCACCCGCAGCTGGGCTTTCCCTTTAGCTGCCAAGAGTGCAGAGGATGTCAGTTCCAACGGGGCAAGAGCGCCCCAGAGGCTGAGGCAGGCTCGTGCCCATTCCTGAGGCTCGCATGTGGCAGAGAGGGAGTGTTCTGCTTCATGGACGTGGGATTTTTAATACATAAGATATTCCAGGAAGCTTTTGGGCAAAGAACTAGGATAAGAATACTTCGAATGACTCAATTAACTCTCTTCCATTACTGGGCTAATTCCTTCTTAAGCTGCCTCAGCCACTGGTTGCCATGCCAGCACAACTTGGCGTACAGAGGTCCTTTTTTCGCACTGTGTAAAGAAACTTCTTTTGTCCCTTCTAAATCCCCTGGTCATCAGTGTCATTGGGTGCCTGTCCTACAGCACGACTTCTAGAACCCTAGAACCTTGAGGTCTGGTTGGAGCTGCTCCAGCCCCCCCAGACATTTTGGTTGTCCCTTGCCTGGGCCTCTAATACCGTTTTTGATTTTAAAAAAGTGAAGCACAATGCCAGCGACGGTCCTTATCCTGACAAGAGAGACCCTGCTTTGCACGCACAAGGCTCTGAGTTCGATCCCTGACATCTCCAGGCCAGGCTGGAACGGCTCCTGGCTGAATCGCTGGACGGCTGCCGCCAATAAGCAGGGACAATACTGGGCCGGAGAGGCCAAGGGGAGCTCCCTATTCTGGGAAATAACTCTGGAAAAATCCTGACATCACTTGCATTGAGGAGGTAAAGTGATGGATGATCAAAGGCCACGTAAAAAATCCCTTTCTCACCTTTGGCTTTCTTGGTAGCCAGGTGCCGGGCCTGCACCATCTGCCCGGCCCAGCTTGCCCGGGGGCCCGCAAGCTCCAGAGGGGCTCGCGAGGAGGGCCCTGCGACCCCCAAGAAAGGGCGGCGCAGCAGGAGAGGCAGCTGCCGGAGGCACCTGAGCGGCCCCGCCATGATGCGGCGCGCGGCAGCGACCTGCGAAGGAGCCGCGGCGAAACCCGGTCAGGCGATGCCGCTCCCACGCGAGCGCGCTCTGCGGCACCGCGGCTGGCGAGCGGCCCGGCCGGCAGGGGCTCCGGAGCGAGGCTGGCCTGAGGGCCGCGCAGGCGGTCGGGCGGCAGCCGCACAACGGCCCGCGGGGAGGGCGCCCCGGAGGGCAGCGAGGGCAGGCGCGGTCGCGGTCGCGGTCCCGCCTCCAGCG